GAGTGTTTTTTTCCAAGGGTTCTGAGCATTCGAAGGACTTCCACTAATTGCTGTTTGGATTTTTCTAGTAGTTCCTTGTCTAAATTCATGAAATTTTCTGATGATGGGACACTGGGCCCGGTTCCCAGCACGTGCTGCTCCCCCCAAAGAGACTGGAGGATGTCCCTTTAAAAAAAAAAAAAAAAAAAAAAAAAAAAAAAAAAGGGCTGGCTCGCTCTCTGGTGGTGCAGAGACTGAGCCAGCGACAGTCTTAAGTCCGATTCCAACGCAGCACATGACCGCACATGCATGGGTAAACTACGTGAGAGAAATCTCAAACAGATAGATCTCCAATAGAATAGCATATTAGCATATTAGCGTCACATCACCGGGATCGCCACAGCAAGCTATGGCTTCGACCCACCCTCTTTTTTTTTCTTTTTTTTTTTTTCACGACCTACCCTCAACGCCGAGAATAGAAATAAGAACACCAAAGAACACCAAAGAACACCAAAGAACACCAGAAAGTGCAGTAGCTCTCAATCACCTACCACCCGTCTTCCCCGCAACACAAAGCAACCTCAATTCGGCGGTACCTGCCCGGAAATTGAGCTGGTATACATTCATTATCAGGGTGGGTTATGTTGGGGGGAAGACGGTAGCTGCGATCTCTGCTTGTATGCTTACTTTTTTTTTATTTTTCCCTTTCTTTTTTTTTTGTTTGAAAGTGTCCTCTGAATGTACTATGGGGGCTGATATGAGCCTCACCTCCATAGTATCAGCCTGGACTCGGAGATAGCTCCGATCTGCTTGTATGCTGGTTGCTTGCTTGCTTGGTGCTATGTGATGGGTGTACTGTCGACTTCGACCTTCGCTTGTGCACACTATGGGCCTATAGGCTATAGATTCACTCTGTCCACTACTCTCCACATGCACAAGCGGAAAAAAAACTATCGCAAATGTATCTTTCCATGTTCTAGCTGAAGATTCACTCTGGTTTTGCACATTTGGAAAGTAGAAGAGCGAGGGGCTATAGGCTATAGCTGTTCTCTGATTCCGGACTACTTTCACTCTACTGATACAGCAATGAGACTGCTGAACCCGCGTTCTATTGGAGTACAGCAGTCTCATTGGAAAGTGACGATCTGCAGTTTGGCCATAGCGACACGCAATAAGTACAAGAAAGCACCCGCGTTATATTCGAGTAGAAGAAGGTACCCGTAGCTGTTTTCTAATAGGCTAAAACTTTCACAGTTTCACTCTGCTGACACATAGCAACGATACTAATGAACCCGCATTCTATTCGAGTACAAGAACGTACCATACCAGCAGGTCGGGCGTTTGATAATAAAAAAAAAAA